CACTACGGCTGATCCAAGCCAGGCTGCTGGTGGTCTCCTTGGCCACCTGGGTACACCTGGCTGGCTCATCTTCAGCTGACTGCTGACCAGCACCCCCATGCCCTTATCTGCCAGGCACTTTCCAGCCACTCTTCCCCCAATCCTGGAGCACTGCATGGGGTTGTTGTGACCCAAGGGCAGGACCCAACACGTGGCCTTGTTGAACCTATTCCCATTGGCCTCAGCCCATCGATCCAATCTTGGTTTAAAAACCCCTTGATAAGCTGTGTTACTATATCCCTGTCCCTTAGTTTTAACTCTGGTGGGAAAACTAAGATGCACAACAACTCATCTACTCTTGGTTTCTTGTTGCACAAAAGCTATAGCTCCCAATGCCCTGCCTAACTTGCTCAACAGCCCTGTACCCTACTCTCCTGTACCCTATTCCTGCCCAGGCTATTTCCCTGGAAAAGCAGATATCTTCCAGGAAGAATGGTATTATGTCAGAGTTCCCCACAGCCCATAGGTACAGAGAGGGTAAGCAAGCTTCTGGCATCATGGCATTTCATTAAAGGTCTTGTTCTTTTCCAGTCTGGAGGCATAAGAATATTCTGGGCAAATCTTGGTTGGACACTGTAATAAAGCCTCCAGATTTTCAGGCACTATGAATGGTCTGGTTGGCTGCTATAACAAAAACCAGCAGCTCTCCACCTGCAGTGAGCACTTTTTTTGGAAGACTATACCTTGCCAACAGTTCTGTATCAGTACTAAGATTAGAAACTGAACCTTCTGGTATGTAGTCACAATTAAAAAAAGAAAAAGCATATTCATTTGAAGCCTCAGCTAAGAAATTATTTGGTTAAGCAATAAACTAAGTTAAGATAATATTTAATCCTGATTTGTATGCTCTTTAAGGCCAAGAAAGCAATTTTCTAACTTGTAAAACAAAAGCTTTGTTTGAAAAAGGCTTTAGTCCAGAAAGTACAATGTGAATGAAGTGCTTTCAAATCTCTTTTGTAGTCCCAGCTTGATAGGTATCTTAAAATATAAAAATACCTTCTATGAACACCAATGGTCTTTATATTTGTATAAAATCAGTGACTTTTTTCATTGGGATGAAACTTGAAAAATAACTACCTATCAAATTTTCCCTCCTAAATGCCATCACTGTAATTAAAACCAACTTGTTAAGAGGTGTATACATTTTTTTAATCCACAACTTGTCTTTTTGCTCAGCTAAAGCTTGCTGACAGCTTCTCCTTCTCTCACTGTATCTACATCTAATGACTTCCCAATTCAAGGAGCAATTTCCCCACTGGTTTCCCTGGTGCTTCTGCCAACCTCAAGCCTCACTGTCCACTGCTCCATGTGATCTATTATGTGCTAAGGAAGCATTTTTTTGTGTCTGCCTGAAAACAGGAAAGCAGGAATCACCCAGGAAAAAAAAAAGTGGGATAGTGGAATACAACACACCCAGACCCCCCTCTCTCTTTTCATCTCCCCCTTTGCCTCCTCCCTCCCAGTTCCTACCTTATTTTAGGGACCAGTGGGACTGAACACTCACAAAGAGCTATTTCTCCAGCCCCCCTAGAAGTGCTTTCAGTGGGGCTTTCCCCACAAAAAGGCTGGACTTCCCTTGAGTTCCTGCCCAACCCATATAACCACCTCCTGAGGCTTCTCCCACAGACTAAACAAGCTAAAATAGCCCTGGAGGGATTGAAAAGCTGTGGAAATGTGGTGCTGAGGGACACGGGTCAGTGGTGGACTTGATCTGAAAGGTTTTTTTTCCAGCCTAAATGACTGTATGATTCTCTGACTAACACTGGCAGAAGCACAGACACTTGAGAGACAGGCTCTAATGCAGTTTGACAGGGCAGCACATAAGAAATGGATGCATTTCCTACATGTTCTAGTCTGGTCCTGAAGGGCAAGGGAAAGACTTGATTTCCAGCAGTCAGAGATCTCAAGCAGAACAGGATAAATAGAGAAAAAAATGCCACCAGATGTGGTATCATGCTACTCCCCTGTGAAGCTCTTTTAGGAACGTGTTTCATTTTTGCTTCATGAAAAGGAGATTGATTACTAGTTGTCTGAAGCTCCCTTTATTTATCCCCTGAAATTTTGCCAATAAATCTTCCTTGCAGGAAACCCAAGCCCATAGGATCAAGTTGCTTCAAAGACATCAGCTTATATTCTGACAAACTGAGGTTAAATGCTCTATGCCCTTCACAAACCAAATTAAAGACTGGTCTTTCTGGATGTTCATGGAAAGCTGGAGCCAGAGGAGACATGCCAGTGTCATCTCAGTCAGAAGAAGGAGCTGTGGCAAGGCTGATAGTACAGGCTGAAAGATCATGTCTTGAATCACCTC